ACAGAGGAGACTGGAGGGCTACGGTTCATGGGGTCGAAAAGAGTCAGACACAACTGAGCAATGAACATTTTCACTTATGTTAATTAAGGCACACATTGTGGATGGCCCATCTCTCTTGACCCTAAGAACACCATGTCCTGTTAGCAAGCTCTATGCCTCTCTGCAGATCAGAGCCTCTGGCTGCTACATCAGTTTTGCTGCTTTTGCAAAATCACATTCCTTTTTAAGTTTAAGTGACACCTGCTGAATTGAAGGAGATGTGATAAAAAAAAAAAAAAACAACTTCCAGGTATTTTTTTGTGGAATTACAAAAAACAGTGCCTCTGGAGTCAACACATCACGTGAATACTGCCAGAATATTCTATCCACAGAGGCTGCTGTGGGCACTGCCCTCCTATGGCTTTCCAGGGTCTGACCCATGGGAGCAAAGCCAAATGTCACTTGGGCACTAGTCGTGAACACACATGAGGCAGCTTGGGGATTTCTACCAATCAACCCTGTTGTGACCCCATATCAGAGGATGGTGACCCCATATCAGAGAGGAGTGAGAGCAATTGGTGAAATTTAACTTTTACTCTTTACACCATTCCAAAGGAAACAGGAAACCTGGTATTACTGAGAGACAATATGAACTTGCACAGCAAAAATTCAAGTGAACCCACCAAAATTAAATAAATAAATAAAACATATAAGAACCAGTTAGTGAGTTCAGCCAATATGCAGGGTGTGAGATCAGTGTTTTTAAAAAACCAAGTATATTTCTGTATAGTAGCAATGAATCATCCCAAAGTGAAATTAAGAGAACAATTCCGTTCACCATAGCATCCAAAGGAAGGAAATACTTTGGAAGAAGACTAATATACTAACAAAAGATGTGTGTGAATTCCACACTGAAAAGTACAAAACTTTGCTGAGTGGGGTTTGCAAATATCTATGAGAGAGAAGGGCTCTCTGCTCATGAGTCAGGAGGTGCGATGCTGTCAGACTCTGGTTGCCTCCAGTGCGATGTGTGGATTCTCTCCAGTCCCTCCCCAAATGCCCAGAGACTTTTCTGTAAAAATGGACAAGCTGATTCAAAAACGATGATGTAAAAGACCCAGAATAGACACAAAATGTGGTGAGGGGTGGGGGCCGATGGAAGGTTTACTTGCCTTTCATGATTTCAAAACCCAGTGTTATGATAAAGGCATCATGAAAATACAGTTTTTTTTCATTTATATTTATTAGTTGGAGGCTAATTACTTTACAACAATGTAGTGGTTTTTGCCATACATTGACATGAATCAGCCATGGATTTACATGTGTTTCCCATCCCGATCCCCCCTCCCACCTCCCTCCCCATCCCATCCCTCTGGGTCTTCCCAGTGCACCAGCCCTGAGCACTTGTCTCATGCATCCAACCTGGGCTGGTGATCTGTTTCACCCTTGATA